TTCTATACCCAAAAGAGCGATCCGCGTAGAGACGCCCATTTTCTTTTCTTTGGCATCAAACTATTTTTGTTCGTTGCGAAGTCTTTCTGTTGCCAAGCTTTTCCGGAGCACCATTCTCTTGAACTGGAATTCCCGCTCTTTGCCGTTTTTTGACGTTTCCGCGGGCTCTTAACTTATTTGACTTGTCCTTCCTGTCCGCAGTCCTAGCGGAGGGCGAGCGGCGCGTGTTCCGACGCTGCGGCTACGAGAAGGACGCGAAGCCCTGCTACCACTACGACGACGATGACCACGCCGAGGTGGTGTGCCAGTGCTTCGAGGAGGCGTGCAACGCGGCGCAGGGGAGCCGCGTCGGCTCGGTGCTCGCGCCCCTGGCGGCGGCGACTACCCTGCTGCTCCTGGCGCGCTGAAGCACTCTCGCCCCCCTGGGCAGGGCGGGGCGGCGGCGGCATGGCGCGGCCTACGACACGGCATCCAGCCTACGGCACGGCCTACGATACGGCAGGCGGCACAGCCTACGGCACGGCCTAGAGGACGGCGAGCACGCGGACGGGAGGCGCACCGCGTCGTCATCGGTGCTGGTGATGGGCTCGGGGCACGAAGAGGACACTATTTGCTGCGCTCCTGACGGAGCGCGCCGCCCGCGTGCGTGCCGCGGCAGTGCGTCGCGGCGACAGCATTTGCTTCTTGCCAGCGCACGCTTCCTCAAAAAAATAACTTTACCCAGAGACGCGCGTGTCACGACATTTTTACACGTGACCCACTTCGCCCTCGGCCCTCGACCCGGAAAGTGTGACAACTCATCCTGTAGGGCGGGACAAACTGGATCCGGGGTGGGAGTTGGCTCTGGTCGTGCGACTGAACAGTTATATGGCAACTTCTGCTTGGCTTTGCTTTTTGCGTTGGGCTAGTTGATAATTATGGTTGTTCCGGGTCAAGAAGCCGGGTGAAAATAAGAAAAGGATGACTGATATTTTTAAGTTGAGAAGAGGGTCGGAGTTATTTTATTTCCGATTCAAGTAAACTACAGGGTATTTATTTTTATGGACTTAATAGAATTTCCGGAGAGATGACAGGCCCGTTTTTGATTGATTAGTTGTAAGTGGTCCTGTGTCAAATCCGGAAACCAAATAACAAGGAGAGGATTTGAAGGTGTTCGTGTGCTTCAGTTACCAATAATTTATAAAATGAGCACGTATATTAAGTTTGGTTTACGTGTTCCATTACCTTAAATATCTTCGTACAATCGTTTGCTCCGCGGAACACTTTACAAAACTTGAATCTGTTATTTGGATCCTGGAATTCCCTTTGCCTTTGTCTTCATTCATTTTACACATTTGCTCGTTCATGGCATTCATATTTAAAATGTAACTCCCCACACGTTCTAGTTTATTTGATTCTGTGACTTTCAATAAAATGTAGAACATTGTCTTGCACCTGTGCGGTTGTTTTACTTTCAGTGCCCGCCATGCGCCTCCGTGGTAGGCCACCCATCCGACTCGCTCATCGCTGATGGCCGCGTTGAGTCCGGCTGCCCGTGTCGTGGCTTCCCGCCAGCAGCGGCCAGTCAGTGTTTGTCTTTGAGCCGCGCTGCGGCTGCGCCTCGGCGCGTTGCTCAAGGCCACCGATAACCTCGTGCTGGCTGGACCGGGCTGGGGCTGGGCGGCGGCGCGGCGGCTGGTAGGAGCGCCCCTAAGTTGTCCACGATACCCTGGACGGCGGCTGCTACACGACAGGGGCGAAGGGCCCGGGGCCCTGGCGGGCCAAATGGCTCTGGACGGGGATCCAGCCGTACGGGATCCAGTCCAGTCCGGTGGGGCAAGCTGGAGTCAGCTGGTTCTGTTGACGCCCTGTCGTGTCTGGCCCGGCCCAACGGTCCCTAGGACCACTGACCCCGGACGGACACCCCACCTCCAACACAGTGGACCGCACTTTACTGAGGTGTCCTCGGAGGTGTCGGCCTCGACGGTAGCGGCGGGGGACGCCTAAAGGGGACCCGGGTAGTCAACCAGGACACAGCCGTGCTCCGCAGTTGCCTACCTGCCGGGCGCCCCGGGGGGCCGCCTTAGGAGTCCCGGGTAGGCAACCAGGACACAGCCGTGCTTCGCAGTTGCCTACCTGCCGGGCGCCCCGGGGGGCCGCCTTAGGAGTCCCGGGTAGGCAACCAGGACACAGCCGTGCCCCGCAGTTGCCTACCTGCCGGGCGCCCCGGGGGACCGCCTTGGAAGTCCCGGGTAGGCAACCAGGACACAGCCGTGCTCCGCATTTGCCTACTAGCCCGGCGCCCATCACAGCCAGGTCCCTGATTGTTACGCGACGCTGTAGTGTACGAGCCGCGGGAGAGGGGGGGGGGAGGGACCTGAGCCGCGGGTGCCCGGGGTGCCCGCGGGCCACGAGCCGCGCCGGCCGGAGGAGGCACGCCGTGGGAGGGGGGAGCGCCCGGTGCCTGACTGTGGGCCGCGGCCTGCGTAGCGTGGCCGAGTCGAAGCCCGACCAGTCCGCGCTAGACCCACGCCTCGACGCGACGCTCGAGCCGGCAAGGACCAGGACACCCCGAGCAGCAGTCGTCGTCGCCCTCCAGGTCGCCGAGGAGCATCCGGCAGTGCACGCGTGTCCACTTCAACAACGAGGTGGGTGCCGACAAGGTTCTCTCCGGCTACCGTACGTTTTGCAAAAAAGACAAACAATAAAAAAATATTAGCGACATTGTAAAACATTTTGGATGTGTAGTTTCAATAAAAAGAGACAAAAACATTAGTGAAAATAATCGTAGTCTGGCAAATACTCCCGAAGGATTAGTGTCAGTGTGAGCCTTTTCTTTTTGGTGTTTTGTGCGGCTGCTTTGAGGCGGGACGCCCTGGAAAACACGCCTTAATTCTTGGGGGCCTTTTTAGCGGTGGGGTTGAGAGGACGCGGGGAGGGTCGAGGGTCCTGAACAAACAGCTTCGACAACGGCTCACGACAGGGGAACGGAACTGAATGAACACTGCACTGCGTGGTGTGATACGGCTCCTGGCGTACGTCTCTTGCCTCACGTTTGGGGAACCGAATGAATCGCGGTTCCTACGATTCGGTACCTACGCAGCCGACGCTGGCCGCTCTCCCCTCCGCTTCATTCACTCGCCGCCGGCACCCCATGTGGGTGCGTGTGTGTGTGTGTGTGTGTGTGTGTGTGTGTGTGTGTGTGCGCGTGTGTGCGTGCGTGCGTCCGGGCCCTCGAGGCACGTGGACACCTGGCCGCGCGAGCGGGCGGGAGGGGTGAGTCGACCTACCGGAGGGTGTGGGGGTGGGGAGAGGGCGTTGCCGTGGCGCAGCGCGGTCAGGTGAGACGCCGTCAGACGCGGCGCTGTTGGTCCTGGGAAAGGCGAATAGCTCGGCTCATGAAAATACAACCGGGTTCGATACCTCGCCGCCGCCGGGCACGCCCCTCTTTCACCCTCGCACCCCGCCGCTCACTTTCATTTTCTAATAATATCGATATTGATAATCTCCTCTCTCACGCATGAGGGAGGGGGTAGTACGTCTCACTCGTGTCTCGCTCTGTGTGTGTCCCTCTCTCTCTCTCTCTCTCTCGCTCTGTGCACTCTCTCTCTCCCTCTCCCTCCCCGCGTTTAGTTAAAGTATGTGAGGCTGGTGAGGGAGTAAGGCTGACTGGGGGTGCGAGAGCGGGGCGGACGGCGGACGAGGGCAGGTAGGTATGGGCAGGCGGGGGCAGGCCAGGGCTGGATGGGAGGGGGGAGGGCGCTGATTACATGGGCTGGCCAATCCTACCGAAACGTGAGCGCCTTTGTCCCCCCGCACCCCCGCGCTCCTCCCCCTCCGCTCGCCTCTCTCTAGTCACCCAACCCCCCCGTCCCGCGCCCCCAGCGTCATTCCGAGGATTATGAAGCGCCCTGTCGAGACGTGCGTGGCGCCTGCCTAAGCCGTCCACTCACCCCGCGCTGTCAAAACTCGAACTGAAAAAATACAACACCCGATATATGAACAACAAATAATTAATTGGTTTCTACAGATTCGCTATCTTCACGCGGACGCATGGGGTTCACGAGGCCGCGTCGAAGGGCGACCGTGTCCGAGACAGTTGCGGCACTGATCTGAATTTTTATATTTTAATTGTTGTTTTTTGAACCGACCCAGCGCAGCAGGCGACGCTGTCCGGTTCGCTCGTGGGGAAAACGACTAGGGTAATCATCCGGCAGGTGTAATCCAAAGAAATTCGAAAAAAAGCCCGGGGTAATCCGGGGAAATTTTTGGGTGATCCGGGGTAATCCTAGAGAAAATTTTAAAAAAGCTGCGTAATCTGGAGGATACTCCAGAGGTAGTCCGAGTAATCGGGTCAATCCGGCTGACACAAAGCTGACACAGTCGAAACGACTCGGGTCCGCTGGTTGGCCCGACGCGCGGATCCCGATAAGTCCGCTTTTGGTCAGTTGCAAGCGGATGCGCTCGGTGAGCCCCGGCGGGGCGGGGCGGGG